AAAGAAAACAACATCGCCGGGATCGGATCATTCAGCTTCATCTCAATTCAAACCACACCACGCTTTTATGTAATATCCAACACTCGTCCAAAGGGCCAAAGATCAAAGATGGCTCTCGTCCCCATCGCCGACTCGATCACCCCCTCCCCTCCCTCCCTCTCCGCCCCGTCTCCCCCTTCCTTTCCGCCTCCGGAAACATTCGACTTCATCCCAAACACCCACGACCTCCTCCTCCGCCTCCTCCCACCAAATACCGCCGCCTCGCCGCCGACTCAGTCCAACCTCCCACCCCTGGAACCCAAAGATGTCGACGCCGAGGCTTCAAGGATCCGGATAAAGATCCAAAAGGCGCGTGCCATCCTCAACGATCTCCCCGATATCTCGCGATCCATCGAGCAGCAGGAGGAGGAAGTCAAAGCTCTGGAGGAGAAGATTCGACGGCAGAGAGAGGTTTTGGGGAGGATTAGGGAATTGAAGGTTGTGAAGGATGCTGCCGGTGGGAGATAGATGGACTATCTTTAAATATATCAATAGAGATATTGGACCGATTCCATCAAGGCGATATCGAGAGAGGATATCAACTATTTGACTGTTCGATCATTGTTATACTCATACATTTCCCTTAGAGGTAGGTTGAAATTTGTATTATCAATCTATACGATGATGCTAATGGTACAATTCATATAGAAATGAATCTTCAATATTTCTTTTCAATATAATCTATCGCCATGATTTTTGGTTTGTTGAATACACTTTTGTTGAAGTATTTCTTTCCCCTTTCCTAGAATATCCCTTCTCCCATATAACACCGATTCTCTTTCATTCACCTTTTCTGGGTTCGTAAGAAAAGTAATACCCGGAAAAAGAGATCAAATAATAATATTATTATAAAAAACGCATGTGTTGAAACCCGCAATATCTCAAATGCACCCAAGAAGTAGACAAAATAATAACATACGAAAGGATGGGAGCTTAAGTTATTCGCTCTTGATACCGAGATCCAAAGGCTAGCTTTTTTTGGAGCAGTTTTCTTACTTAAACTGGGAGAGGGAAGGTGGAAGCCCAGCCGATCACCTCTTGCTGAATCTTCTGAATCTCCGGTACACCAGCTTGAACCTTGGCCTTGAAGTCCTTGAGCTTGTTCGCCTCCTTTGGAAGCTGACCCTGGACATCCTTGGCAATGGTGATGAGCTGGTCAATATACCTGACCACCCTCTTGAAATCTTCCTCTCCGAATCCACGGCTGGTCATCGCCGGTGCACCGATACGGATACCGCAAGGTGTGAGCGCCGATTTGTCACCGGGGATCGAGTTCTTATTGCACGCGATATTGGCGGCTTCGAGAACGGTTTCGATACGCGCACCATCAAGCCCCTTGGGGCGGAGATCGAGGAGGACCATGTGGCTGTCGGTTCCGCCGGAGACGAGGGTGTAACCCAACTCTTTGAATTCTTCTTCGCAAGCCTTTGCGTTCTTGATCACTTGCTGCTGGTATTGTTTGAATTCTGGGGTGAATGTCTGACCGAGGGCGACGGAGAGAGCGGTGATGGTGTGATTGTGAGGACCACCCTGGTGACCTGGGAAGACACTGTGCAGTTCGTCAGTATATATCGCGTTGATTAAGGGATTGTAGTCCTTACCTAAAGTTGATGGCGTCCTCGAGCTCATAGAGGGTTTCTTTACCCTTAGCATCAACTGATCTCACACCCTTGCGGTAAAAGATCATGGCACCACGGGGACCTCGCAAGCTCTTATGGGTAGTGGTGGTCACAACATCGGCGTGCTCGAACGGCGAGGGGATGACACCAGCAGCGATCAAACCGGAGATGTGGGCCATGTCGACGACAAGGTATGCGCCAACCGAGTCGGCAATCTTGCGCATTCTAGCGTAGTCAATGAGACGGCAGTAGGCGCTAGTTCCTGCGACGAGGATCTTGGGCCTGTAGAGTGCTGCTGTCTTTTCTAGCATGTCATAGTCAATGATGCCAGTGCTGATGTCAACTCTGTAGGGCATGGTCTCAAAGTATGTCGAAACAGCAGAGATTCTTAGACATTCCATTAGCACAATTCATCTCTATTGGTATCTTGGTGTGAAGGGTTTACTTTTTAGCTGGAATTTGGTATCCGTGGCTCAAATGTCCACCGTGGGGTAAATCCAACCCCATCAATCGATCATGTGGCTTCATAAGAGCCTGGTAAACTTGCAAGTTGGCAGGACTGCCAGAGAGAGTCTGAACGTTGACACCCCATTTTGCGGGATCGCAGTTGAAAGCTTGGAGAGCACGCTTCTGGCAGAGTCTTTCGATGCTGTCAATGTGCTGGTTGCCGCCGTAGTATCTGGCACCGGGGTAACCCTCGGAGTACTTGTTGGACATTGGCGAGCCAAGGGCATCGTAAACGGAGCGGGAGGTGATGTTTTCGGAAGCAATGAGGAGGATGGATTCTCTTTGACGCTTGATTTCGAGATCCATGATCTCAGCGACCTCGGGGTCGAGTTCCCGGAGAGGCTTCTCCAGTAGCTGTAAATCATGTCAGTGACTATACCAAGGTGATAGCTATCGATAGCTGTATGGAGGAGTACATGGACATACCTCTTTGTGAGCATCTGACAATGCGTATGTCGACATTTTGTATGATTGATTTTACAGGGTAATTATTACTTGATGAATGTAGAAATGATAGATTGCGGAGGAATGTTGCAATCGAGAAGAGAAAGTTTTCGTCCCGATTGAATAATTTAATTTTTTTCAGAAGCAGCGGTGGCGGGGCGGGTAAAGTAAAAATTTTTGAGAAATCGGAGGGCCGATGCAGCCAAAGTTGGGAGACCCCACCACGCCCAACCGGCCAGCCGACCCACGGCGACAAGACGTGCCTGCAGCTGGGACCGGTCTGGTAGCACTGAATTGGATGGGAGCTCCCCTCGCGATTACAAGCTATCGATAAACTCATCCTTGTTCCTTGCCTCCGGTCCCATGCAATGTTGCATCTTGCCTGCGTTCAGAGCGCGCATTCCAACAACAACCCATTTTTTTGCATTCGGCGATATCCAAGCAGTAGCCCACATCGCATTCCATGCATCGAATCGCGATCGAAATAAACTATTCGGTACGGTCCGACATCTGCACCCCTGACATTACAATCGCACGGGAGATGTTTTTACAATGCTTTCTGGCGCCTTCTAAGTCATGCCGAATTCACGAAGCTCCAGTCGTGAGAAGGCTTCTCGTGACGTCAATATGCCCTGATACAAATTGAATATTGTTCGATTCCAATAATAGTACTTGCAGTGTTCTCTATTAATGGTTATCAGTGGCAGGATCTAAAGATGCAAGCAGGAGGGTCCCCAGCCTGCAATTTTCAACGCACATACACACACACACACACACACGCATATATATATATTATTTCGATGTAAGGGATATTCACTCACCTAACTGTATATTCTATCATTATATCGAACTCGCAGGTACAAAAGCCTACATGCAGGATTTCAAATCGCAATTTTCAATTTAGTTATCCTAATCGTAATTCTCAACATGGTTTTGCTCGGAAACCTTTCCCTCGTCATTCTCTTGACAGCCCTCAGCGGAGCCAATGCTATTGCCCTTACAAACGCTCCGCTGGCGGGTGTCTCCCATCTCGTAAAACGAGCTCCCGTATGCCGTGCTAAAAACGACCAATCCTCCTTTTTCCCAAAAACCAACGTATACATCGGCATCACCTATCCTCAATTTCTACTGGATGCCAAATTGCGACTCGGCAAGTTGAGTCGGAGACTAGTCCCCCGTTCTCTGAATCTTACTGTTGAAACCTATCCGGATCCGCCAGTCGATGGAAAATGTGATCCCAGAGACAACAATGCTGTAAACCCAGACTTCTATCCTGTTCCTCCCCCAGATAGCTCGATATGTCCCAGAAGAGACCAGGTAAGCCATCATAAACCTCATATGACAAGTTTTATAACTTTGAGACTAATAAATTTACGATGATAAATAGGACGTTCATTTCGTCTTGTACCGCCAAATACTAGACAAGGCTCTCGATGATGCCCCACTCGCGCCAGCTGGTTTCCAAGATCCACTCTCCGTAGACTGTCAAAATACGGTCACGTTTAGCGATATAAATACCGCCCTGGAAAATCTATACTCGGGGTATGACGCCATGCTCACGGCAGTCGATAAGCAAACATGTCTCGCCGGATTTTCGGACACCAGCACAGTGTACACCCAACTGTTCGACCACCCAGTTGCCGACCTGACGAAAGATACTAAAATATATAGCATTATCCACGCTTACTCTGTAAGAACGTTTTATCCTAGATGTCTGTGATCTAAAATTGAGAATGATATGCTAATAAACAATGTGTAGACCATTATTGCGAGCGCGACCTACAAAGGCGAGGAGTTCAATACTCAGGGAAAGATCACCATTTCGGATATCTATACTCGATTCTCCGATTCCCAAAATTTGATGCAGATTCGGAACGGCTGCAAGAATGATATCAGGAACAAGTGCAAGCTTTTAAACGTGCCGTTAGAGCCCAGGGGGCTGATTGGGGAGGTTTTGTCTATTGTGGGGATCGAGTCGGATTGTCCTGCTATGATGCAGTAGGCGTTGGTAGTGGAGGCTGCATGTACACCTTAGTAATCTAAATATATGAATTTCGTCTTCTAGTCCTTACCCCATAAACTGAATCCGAGGTACTCGCGTACTCGTAGCTACCTTTTTGAAATAATATATGGCCGTTATAGCAGCTGCTTTTGAAGAGGAGGGATCTTGCGTACTGCGAGACCAGTCGCAGTCCGTGATTTACAACCTCTTTCTCGCACCTCTCCAACACAAAGTGCCGTTCTATAACTTCACTCACAATACATAATTCCCACCTCACCAAGTCAAGTCATAACCACAAAACGAAAACCTCCAGATTTTGCATTTCTAACTCGAATTCAATGAGTTCTTGACCAAAAAGTTGAAAAAAAGCTCCAAAAAGAAAGAAATGTCGTCAGCGACAGGATTCGAACCTGTGCGGGCGAACCCATTTGATGTCCAATTCAGAAGTTAATTCGAGTCAAACGCCTTAACCACTCGGCCACGCTGACAGTATGCGATGTCGAGGTGTTGAAGGGGGAAGGTGGTAAATAAGGTTAGTTGCTCGTTGTGGAGACTGCTGGGATATAGGGAATGTGTAATTGTCTATTCCTCAGAGCTTTGCTTGAAGAATTGCAGCTTGATGTTGTAATTTTCACATCAACTAGCGGTAAGAGATTTATTAATATAATACAAGATATTATGGGTTTTATTTGGGTAGCTACTTGAGAATTGGGTTTCAATATTTCTGATAAATATTCGGAAGGAAAGAATAAGGGTAAGTTCTTTGTTTACAACGGCAGTGAAGCTTCCCGAGCCAGGGTATCAATGTAGAGCAAACATCAGAATGGAATCTCGCAAATGTGTTCCGTACCAGTATTCCGAGATTTTATAAGCTTTTCTGATACTTGTAAAAGAGGGTTTGGTTTCGAGACCAGTTTGATGTATGTATTTACTTCAGCGATAGAGAATTTGATTACCCTTTGACTTATATTTGCTCAAGTATTCACAGGTTGGACCCTTTTCTAACATTCCAGAATCATTTTACTTGTTTTGTTAATACATTACACTGCATTGCTAAATATTGATATCCGAAAAGAGACACCACCACGACAACATGGCTTGGTGCCGTTTGTCATGTGTAATAGACTCAATGTAATATAGAAAAGCATTTTTAATCTGCCAAAGTCTTCCTAGGTAACATTGGACCCACCATGATGCGTTTGCTATTGAAAACCCCACTAAATAGCAAGCTCAGCGTCCATGAAAATAGAATCAAAGCTCTCAAGAACGTTACTCCGAATGCGATTGTGCTGGAGCTGAGACTCTGGTGATAATTTGAATGCCCCTCCAATATGCAATGTTGAAGACTTGCATCATTCGACCGGGCCGGACCATTGATGCGGGGAACTAATGACGATTCGTGTTGTGATGATTGGCTGCTTCGGGTAGATAAGTGCTATCCCGAAGCGCGCTGGGGCTGAATGTATTCCGATGTGCGCAGAGGCTGAACTGCAGGTGTTAACTGCATTGGCCCCCGTTGTTCGAATTTGACACTGAAGGAACCTTTTCCAAAGTTATATGGTCGCAGGATATTGTCCAGATTTCAACGGCACCGTAGTGTGTGAATTAGTACATAAATATAGCTTGTCTTCCTGGTTAGAATAGACTGAGACCTACGATCAACAATATCAATCCAAAGTCTAGCAAATATCAACTAAACGAGCTAGATAGAATCTACAAGTACAAAAGCGTTTTAAACACAGGCCCAGCTTTACCTTTCACAATGGATTCAACAAAAATAGATCCATTCGTCCAATACTGTCAACAAAATGAAATCCCAATATACACCCCAGGTGCTCCGGAATACGAGCGCTCTGTTGCAACATCCAATCTATTGTATCGCTACTCGAGACCTGATTACGTTGTTCAGCCCAGAAACGACGGCGACGTCATTAAAATTGTCGTCGAAGCCAAATCGCGACAGATCCCAATCATAATCAAAAATGGCGGTCATTCGTATTCTGGATTCTCAACGACGAACAAGGGAATATCTTTAGATCTCGTTCGTATGAAAGAGGTCACCCTTGACATTGATAACATGATGGTGACTTTGGAAGGAGGTGCGCTCTGGGGTCATGCCTACAAGAAACTGGTGAACGGTCGGCACGATGGGTTTGTTATCAATGGCGGCCGGTGTCCTACCGTTGGTGTGAGCGGCTTTGTATTGGGAGGTGGTCTAGGCCCTTTCACCAGGAGCTTTGGTATGGGATGCGATACTCTGGAGGAAGTCTCTATAGTCACGGCGTCAGGAGACTTGGTGACTGTCACACACAAAGACATGACAGAAAACCCTCATTCTGATCGCGGTAGGCTATTTTGGGCTATCTGTGGTGCTGGGGGCGGGAACTTTGGGGTTGTGGTAAAATTGAAGATGAGGGTCCAAAAACTTGCGAACGAGAAGGGCAAGGTCGTCGCTGGGAGATATGAATGGTCGCCCAATCGCAAAGACTCTCGTAGATTCTTCAAGATCATGAACACTTTCTATACTGCGGATTGGCCAAAGGAGATGACTATCGATACCTCGTGGGTATGCGACACTAAAAGCACAACTCCCATCATGGTTCGATTTCTCGTCTACTATGATGGCGAACAGGAGCCGTTCGACAAGATTATCAGCGACCCGAGATTCATCGACTCACCGGACCTTTCGAAACATCTCAAGAGAAGATGTCTGGTTGAAGGTTCCTCTCGCTTTTTCCACGAGACACTTGTCTCTCAATGGTCCGAGGAAATTGTAAAATCGTTTCCGGCGACCAGATTGTTCAACATTTATACTTCCTTTGTTTTCAAGAACAAGCCTGAGAAAATCAAGTTGATCACAGAAATCATTGAAACTGAGATGGAAAGCTTTAGAGACTTGTATAGCGAGGAAAAGGCACTGCTTCAAGTGACCTGGATTCATTCTGGCGGCAAGGTTAATGATTACCAACGGTACGATACGGCGTATCGCTGGCGTGGAGGTTCCTATCATGCGTATATTATGATCGAGTGGGATGGAAAGTGGTTGGAACAGAATATGCGAGGATTCTTGCAAGGCTTCAAAGATAAGCTGAAGCCGCACTCTTTAGGGAAAAAGGCAGTTTTTATCAACTTCCCGGATGGAGCGTTACAAGAAGACGAGTATGAAAAGTCATATTACGGAAACAATTATTTGAAGCTACGGGAGGTTAAACAGGCTTGGGATGCGGGCAACTATTTCAATTGGTCGCAAGGGGTTAAACTCCCCAGATCGGAGGCTACAGCGGACCCGAAAGGAATCGAAGCTCTCACGTTGTCAACCGAGACTGAGGATGTTGAAGAAAGCTCTGAAGCTGTGCAGGATGACGCTGAAACTTTGGCGAAGAGGAAACACGAAGTTGTTCTAAAAGTTGAGCATCCAATCGATGAACAGAAATTGACAGACAGCATTGCGAGTGAGGCCTGGAGAACATATGTGATCCCACCAGCTAAGGATGTGAGTGAGATCCTGAAGACTGGGTTTGTGGGAGGGGTTTACGCACTGGACGATTTGGGCTTTTAAGATCTTGAGCCGAAAATGTATATAGTCAGAATCATATATTAGCTAGTTTCGAATTCACATTCATATATTTGGACCGTTCGATTTTGCTCGCAAGCCAGATCTATTCGATCGAATTACCTCGCCGCTTGTGTTTGAAAGCATCCATATACCAGATCCAGAATGGTAGGATTAGAAACCTCAAAGCGTGTGCAGCTCGCCTAACCAGTTAATGGCCGCGATACAGCGGAATCCTAACATCCTCAAGCTTGTTGTGTTCCCATCTCGTCTCGTACGCTCGATGCGAGTATTAAATGCATGATATATCCTCTCCAACGCAACCCTTGTTCGGTACTTGAACTTCTGAAGCATTAATATATTTGAACACCAGTAAGAAAGTGCGTTTATCGTCCGGCTGATTCGGAAACCTCATCTACGTCAGTTTGATTGAGAGGCCATTCAGAACTTCGGATACGCGTGTCCGTTGTCAAGGGGCACAGCACCACCGTTGATCGGAAAAGTGCCCAGCCACAGGCCTTGCCTTCCAAGCTTGGACGCACTCGATTCGCTTTAAACGTCTCGACAAAGCTCCCGGCACCGACAGCAGAACTCAGTCCTGTAAACCTTCCAACTTCTCCATACCGCGAGAATCGAAGATAACATGTCCTTTCTCCGACACAAAACTGGCGGCGGGGGTGCCGATGCAAACCTGACCGGCCCTCTCTCCGCCGAGGAGATAATGTTCGATGACGTAAGTCGGCCCTATATGCACGGTTCTATCAATCGGCCAGGGCCCGGTTTGAAGCTAGCTAACCGCCATCTCCACTCTCCCTTAGATCAAAAGATACGGCTTCCGCGGTCAAATCCTCAGTCTAGCCTACGATCCAGTGCAATCTCTCATCGCGGTCGGTACCGGTCCGACCGCCAACTCGCCCAGCAATGTCTACGTTTTCGGAGCCGGCAGGGTTACTGCCACCTATGAGCTACCGTCGAAAGGTGCGGCGAAGCATCTTAAAATGTACGACAATAGGCTGGTTGTCGTCGATACAAAGTATGAGCTTCACCATTTCGACCTGATCACCCATGCGAGGATCAACTCCTGGTCACCCCCAGGTGCGGTATCAGCGGTTCTATCCGACCCGGCCTCGGATTTCATCTTTATCGGACTGCAAAACGGAGAGGTGGTAGCTTTCGATCTCGATCGGGACCTCGTTGCGCCGTTCAGGATCCCTAATATATGGCGCCAAAATAACCCCAAAGTTATTTCCGCTCCCGTTGTTTCTCTAGCTTTACACCCACGAGATCTAGGTTCTCTCTTGATCGGCTACTCGGAAGGTGCTGTGGTGTATTCGATCAAACAGGCAAAGGCGGTTACTACCATCAGCCTTGAGATCCCCGCCGGCGCACCCGGCGCAGATGTGGACCCATTGATCATCAAGACCGCTCGACACCCAAAGCTCACAAATGCCATTTTCAGTCCGAACGGCAACTTTATCCTAACTACTCACGAGGATGGATGCCTAGCCTTTTTCAGTACCAGCGATGGCAGGCTTTTGACGGCAAGAACTGTACAAGATGGCGATGTCCATCTTCCCGTACCTCCATCGGCTGTTGATGACCTTACAACGAAGCAACCGATATACAAAGTCGCATGGTGTTGCACAAAGAACATTGACGAAACTACTCTATTGATCGCTGGTGGAAACAACTCCACTATGCCTGCCAAAGGGATATCACTCATAGAGTTTGGAGCTTCACCAAATTTCAAAACCTCCCAATGGAAGCAAATCGTGGAGCACCTGTCAACGCCGAAGCGTCAGAGATTCCTACCGGTCCTCAAGACTACCGATGTTGTCGATTTCTGTCTCATCCCTCGAACTTCGCCTTATTTTGCTGGTGCGCACGATGTAGCCGCCGCTATCTTGCTATTCTCGGATGGTGATATCACGACTA